CTTAATTTTTGCCGTAACACGTCTGTCGTTGCGCGCGCTCCGCTCCGGTGCGTCCCGCGGAGATACGGCACGGATTTTTCTCGTTGCTGATTTTAATAACAGATTGCTACTGGAGGCAAGGGAGGGAAACGCAGGGATGTTAGCGCCGGAACCCGAGGGACAAGGAGAGGAAGGTAAAAGAGAGAGAAGGATCGCGAGCCTGAGTCACTGCTTATACGTGACTACGGCGACGACGACGACGGCGGCGGCGGCGTCGTCGCCGCCGCCACCACCTTCGCTACCCCCTTTTACCACCTCGATATAACCCCCCCCCCGTCCCCCGTGCCGCATTCTCTGCAATGTTTCGCCGTTATATACATTCTCTGCAAATGCGATACCTATACTCACCTACACGAACGGCGGACACGTTCGAATAAATTAAAACGATTCTTTCCGTGACCTGCAACCTCATTTCGTCTTTCGCCGTCTGACGGGGGGCATCTTCGGCGACGCCGACGGTAAGAACAATAAATAAAATTAGCACGACCCGTGACGGATTGCACCTGTGCTTCTGTACTACGTGTACTTGCGTGTGAATAGTTTATCGCGTCCCGTTTATTGCAAATAGATCGGGCCATTTATCGCGCTGATAGCTTCGCGAACGAAATGTATTGTGATAAACGACAATTGTCTTTTTTCGTAAGGAATGTATATATAAATATACAAAAGCATAAATATTAATAAAAATATATATCATAAATATATATGTCATATATATAATATTATATAATATCTATATGTAACGGTAACAATTCGGGAACACAGCAAAATAGATTATTTGTTTGCACGAACTGTTGTTATTGCAATGCTGAATCCATTTCTGAAGCACGTTTCACATATTAAAAAAGTTACGCTGTGTACAATAAAAGTGAATACTGCATAGTTGCGCTTTGCATCTCTAATTAGTAAACTCAAAAAATTAAATAATTTGAATGAAAATAACGTAAAGCTAAATATAACCGAAAATTAAGTTTTTAAAACATTATCTCGATTTAATTGCGTTTGCACTGAAAATTTTTTGGCACACAAGCAAACTCAATTAGAGTTATTTGGTACGTTGTGACCAAATTTAAAAAAAAATCAAAGGTTGAACGTTTCTGGAACTTTATTCAAAAATTCTAGTTTACACACTCGCGTTTCTTAATGGAAATTTATGCAGAACGCGCTACACGTAATTTCAGCTTTCTCCCCTTCATCAACAAGTCCGTCTGTCCGAGTCGGAAATGGTGACTTTATCATCCTAAATTCGCGCTAACTAATGAGAGACGAAAATTATATTCTTTAGTAGGACGTTGTTTTGCCGGAAATAATCTTTGACGAGACCACGCATATCGTTTCGCATACTCAAAAATTAAAGAACATACGTAAAAGTAAGCATTCCGCGTTAGTATAATATTTGTCATAAAGGATTAGTTAAAATCGTCAGAAATGCTGAAAAACTGCACGACACGAAATATTTTCCCAGTGAACGGTAAAAATGCGAAGATTAAAAAGTCAAAATTTTTTAATTAGAGTTATTGTTGGTATAAAAATCAAATACGTCGACGGTACATACGCGGTATATTTGCGAACGTGTCATAATTTTGCAAGTTTACAAGTATAATGCGCGTGGATAAAATATCTAAATATAAAGCACATATATGTCCTCAAATATCAATACTTGCAGAATATTAATAATGGTACCAACAATACAATGTTTGCTTTTCTGTTAACTGTATTAATGGATGCAACAAGGGAGTTCAATTGTGTTTGCTGAAATTACATTCGCCGGCAAACAAATGCGATATACTGCGATCGCATTGGCGTTTCACGTATTCGAGGGTGAAAATATTTCGCGAGACGTTTGCAGACGTGGCGACAATATGTTTAACGATAGCTTTATAATTATCATATTAAAATATTGTCACGTTGTGTACGTCACGTTGCCGACGCACGAAGTTACGAGGGATGAAACAGCGGCAACATCAGGCGGGGCGAGATGAAAAGCGTATACAACAGTTTTTCAGACCGTAAACTTGTAATGTCATCAGACCAAGGATCGCTGGTAGATGGTTGTAATCTGTCTGACCATTTAATTAATCTCTGCTTGAACACGTAAAAACGCGCCAAGTGTTACCGCCGGCCTCCCAGCTGCAGCACTTGCGTTCTTCCCATCTAAAAATGTGTCACCACGGCATCGTCTAGTAATCATCGCAAAGGCGCTATCGATTTCTACATACTAGCATATAAATCGTAATACACATATATGTGTATGTGCCGTTTGAAATATTCTCACACTAAAACAGTCCTATCGGAATTTATATCTCTCGGTAATATCTTGTATATTGATTATAAAATGAAAAAAGAACTATACACCTATTTTTTAAAAAGAAGATAATTTCATATGGCAAATGAAACGTAAAAATTCACTTTGCAAAATATTAACCTCGCATATACGCGATCGATTCCTCGTTACTATTGAAATTCGTGCTGATATTGACCATTGGAATATTCTGCCGTGATACGCAAACAAGTTATAATATGAAATGGCCACGGGTCAGTGAAAGAGCCAATATTAAAAGTGTTTCTTTTGAATGAATGAGAACGATTGAAACAAGAAATTGGACAAAACTGTAAATCGCTCGATGGAAACTATACATTATATCTCACAATAAATACTATATATGTGTGACATTTTACAGCATATTTTCAGATCCTGCAAATATTAGCTACTAATCTTCGACGCCGACTGTTTGAACAAATCTATTTAAAAGCAAAAGCGTAATGAGATATTAATCATTCTCATATGCAAGTATTCTGTAGTAAACAACGTGATCACTGTATTAATGATGCAAATTGACTGTTACTCTCACTTCTCCTGACTGTTTATAGAACTGTTGGCATCAATAAAGAAGGTAATCTTACAAAACTTTTGTTTTTAACATTCTACAACATCCTAATTGCGTCAGAGTTCCAGTATTTAATTTATATAAATTTATTTACATTGTCATTACGACTAACGTTTTGCAAAAAATACAACGGGTCTGGAAGCGAACATTCGCAAAGTGTACGTATTGTGATGGAACAGCGGTTTCTACCAATTTCTTACATAATTTCTCATCGACGACGATGAGTTATACACAATCGTAGACAAAACTATTGCATTACTTGATCGTAATTTGACTTCAAAAGAGCCCAAGGTAATGCTCGTTGACAAAAGGCTTTGCTGGTTACATGGTCACAAATAGAATTAAAGGACACTTAAAAGGATAATCCGTAGCATATCCGCGTCGTGAACCGCGGCAAATACATCTGCCTCTTTCTTCATCGCTCTCTCGAGCAACATCTCAACCGAATCATAATTACGACGTATCTCTTTCTGACGCTGCTGAATTAATTAGTTTTAGTTTAATTATATGGATAATCATCATTCCGTTTTCCCGTCTGTTCCCGCAAGATCTCCCGTGTGCAGCTCCGGATTGGCTTAGATCTTACGTGAAAACTCGAGGGAGCCGTCTTAAGAATACGAAGATTATGTTTTGCATAAGCTCCGACAAACTTCCGCTCTCATCACTCTACACTATCTCTTTGTAGTCGACGTAAAAGGCGGATGCAATTTTACTTTACGGATAATTAATAATTAAATATCGCGAAGCTTTCAAAGGTAGCGCAATACGGCACGGGATTGTAATCGTCCTTTCTTCATTGAGTATCACGTAATGCGCGTGTTTTATTTTCTTCTTATACTTGTCTTCAGGAACGAGTTAAAAAATTAAAATGTGTATCATGGACGTCTTGATAATCTTTGCATTCTGTAATCGATCCAGATTTCTATATGATCTTTATGCGGATACGAGCAAAAACCTGCAAACGCGAAAGAGACGCATAAAGAGCGATCCACTTTGAAACATGCATCAACAAATACATGAACGGACCTACAACGGATACGAAAACGGAAGCAAAACGAGTATCGTTTGGTGAGGGAAACCATGTCATAGAGGAGCTATGAGGAAGAGAGGCACGTGCCCGGTATTTAGGAGACGCAGTAACGTAACAATAGGCAAGTACAAGGGTGGAAACGGTAATGGTGTGTCGCGGTTCGCCCGAGCTTACTTTTATGTCTCACTAGGGAACCACCGCCGTCTCTTTCTCTTCTCTTTCCCTCTGTATCGTCCCCCTTGACACGCGCACTCACACATGATCGTGACTTTCAACGCCCCTTTGGCTGCCTTTCTACCGTTACCGTCTCTCTTTCTGTCTCTGTCTTTATCTCTTTCTCCCTCTCTCGCTTTCGTTCACTTGTACGCTTATTTTAGCGCAGCGGGAAGCAGCCTAGAGGCAAGGGAAAGAGAGGGAGAGTGAGAGAGTGAGTGAGAAAGAGGTGAGGAACTCGGTAAAGCCCGCTTTGTCGTCGGTTTCCTTTCTATGTTATTAAATTGTATGTGTTGAACCCCTTTCTCCAAGCAGCGTATTGTACCGACGTAGTGCAATGCCGCAGTTGCCACTTAGAAGCTACCTCACAGCTGCAGCAGTCTATAACTTATTTGTCGGCAGGTACCTTTACTCTCGCGAGAAATCTGGTTGCCCGAAAATCTGGTTATGCGATCCCTTTCAAATCTTTTCTTTCTACTTTCTTTTTTTTTCGTGTCAATATCATGTGATTTTTAAACGAAGATGCATCTATTATTCGGATATATGACAAAACCTTTTAAGACCAACTTTTTTAACCAAATCAATGCTCAACGATTATCGTAATAACCTTTAAAAAATTAGACAAAAAGAAAATATTTTCGTGAATTTATAAAAGATGAATTTTAGCAGAATTCGCCAAAGAAGACGCTATAGAAAAGATTGATAGAATAATGCCGATACATTGTGATTATATTGTTTATAATAACTATAATTTTTCTCCGAATGATGTAAGAATGGCGCGTTAATCTTTGATAGATTATCGCAATTTGATAAGCATAGAATGTACTTACAATCGACCGACACTTTGATCTGCTTGCTAACCGATGGTGGTATACCGTTGCTAGCGATGCATAAATACGCGCCCATGTCCAATCTCGAAATCCGCGCCATTTCCAGCGTTTCGCCCTCCCATTCTGCCACTGAAATTGTAACCGTTCAACATTCATTACTTGTCAATCGACTGTAGTTAATTATTTCTTATTCTCATGCACGGTATATATTTTCAATTCCTTTAAATTTTTAAGAGAAGATTAATGTATGTATGACCGTTTTGTCTATCAACACAAAGTTTCGCCATCAAATTATATCGGACTTACCAGATAAAGTTTTGTTGATCGAGATCTTGGAACCGTCGTCTCGCTTCCAACGAATGTTAGGTGTTGGACTTCCGGTCGCTTTGCAGGTAAGACTTACATTGGCGCCCTCGCGAACGATCGCATCCGATGAACTCTGCGAATCGTCAATATTCGGCGGCACTATAACAACAAACATTAACAGTTTCAGTTAGTTACAAACAGTACAAAATTTATAGACAGAATAGGAAATGAAAGTAAGACACATAGGCAAGGCGCAGTATAAATAATGCAATTGCGTGAAATAATTTAAAGTGCCATTATCCGTTAAAAATTATACGGCGAATAGTAAGTAGAAATGCCATTTTTTATGTAATACGTATATATATATATATATGTATATAGAGACCCATACATATATGTATTACAATATACACATAGATACATACACTTGTTCAATAAATTCGTCGCTCTCTCTCTCTCTCTCTCTCTCTCTCTCTCTCTCTCTCTCTCTCTCTCTCTCTTTCTCCCCCTCTCTGTTTGCATATAATATAAATATATTACAGAAACGCGCTTTTTTATTGCATAAAGAGATAAAATGTATAAATCAAAGTCACAGTACAGTGATCGATTATTGATAACTCTTTAATTGTACCATGACAGCAATATCATTGCACATTTCACATTTGTGTATATTGACCACGTCGTCACTGCTCTTGAATTAAACGGCTAACCACGTGTGTGTGTGCATGCGCGAGAGGCGTATAATTCAATTATAATGTCGTCGTGGTAACGAATAATATTAGTATATGGACATACGTCGTCTGCAACGTCGACGTTGATCAACCTGGAAATGCAAGTAGCTAGGATTGGTTGACATGTTTAAATGGACAAATATCGCGTTGCTTATATGCAAATATGACGCATCAGCCGAATTACTCATCTTCCTCGTATACTAATTAATCAATCAATTTATGACGTATCAACGAAAAACACTCACGTCACTTCAATGTGTTTAACATTTTCAGTTGTCATTACAAGACGATATATCGCCTTGTATTGGATATTTAATCCATTTCCTAATTTTCTACAGTTCAGTGATACTTAGTATTTATAATTAAATACATGATTTATCATACATACGTATAAATAAAATGTATATTTTTGAAAAATCCTATCAGAGAGTAACTTTATATTTATTACATTTATCTTCAATAATTCTTTATCATATTACAAATAATTTTTCTCAGTTATGACTTCGAAAAATAATTTATTTCGATATTGTAGACAAACAAATATCCATTTCAATACTCAAAATAAGAATTTCAACTATATTAATACAAATTAATTAATTCAATTTAATCGCATTGTACCGCAGTAATATTGTTTCATTTGAATGAAACTGTTTAAGAATAAGTCCGCCGCTCTTTGTAACAAAGAAGTCGAAGAAATCTAGGGCGACGTAGAATTATAAAATTATGGAATCTTGGACAGACAAAAAGAACCTTTCTATCATTAGATATTAAATTTAAGATTTATAAAGTGCACCGGCCAGAATGGAATCATGCGAGCGAGACAAAAAAAATAAGGCTTAAAATAAATAAGCCGCAGGATGACAATATTTATTGATATGTGCTGAAATAACAGTGATTACTTTATATTGTACTACAAGTGTGACAAGTCATTTATAGACTACATATATAACTTTTCCACTATTCGTGTCTTACAGTCTGTAATGCTGAATATTCGAAAAGCTTTCTATCTTTAGAAAGAGAGAAAGAAAGAGAGAGAGAGAGAGAGAGAGAGAGAGAGAGAGAGATATCGCGGATTTCTGAAGTAATTCAGGTCATTATAATTGATTTTTGCAAGCGGTTTAACGTGTATTACAATAGAATATATATCCAAAGAGAGAAATAAAAAGAGAGAAGAGATTAAAACTTATCACAATAGGCTATTCCTCATCATATAAGACAAAAAAGATATTATTTTATATAACTTTATATAAATGAAAATAGTATAATTGAATAGTTGCTTTAAGTTAATCATGTTCGATAATTAACTGAAGTAGAATATTGCAATATGCAATACATTCGTATATATTTCGATATAATACGTTTTTCCAGTACTGTTCTTTACGTGTTTTTTTCGTATATATTCATTATAAGAAGAATTTTCATGTCGTATAATTTGCATTGTTATAACGGTCAATTAAATAAAATAGCACAATAATTTTTAAACAAAATAAATGTTCAATCAATTAGAGAAAAATGCCATTTACAGTCCGGCGACTAAATCTTGGTAGCCTATTAATAATTGTATACTATTTCCAAACTCAGTAAACTGCACGTCAATTTTTTTATTGGTCTTTAAAACGCAGCTCTTAGTTAGAACAGTACATAAATCCACATACTTAAATCGATAATCGATTTAAATTTATATGCTAATGAATATCCTTATTAAATCACTGTAAAGAATTTATTGCGAAAAATATCACCCCAATCAAGATTCGAACTTTTGGACCTCCCTACATTCCGTGACTAAAAATTAATGTTTCTTTTCGTTGCAACATACCATCAAATAGAAGAGTAATCATTAATTAACTAGAAAACGCTTGATATTTAACATCGTCTAATTCTTATAATATAATCAATCTCCGAACGAGAAGAAAATCCGCCTCTTTGTCCGCCAACAGCCGCGTGGTCACCGCGTACGTACGCGGCCAATCCTATGAATTACCGCAGGTGTCCGCCGATATCCTGCATTAATGCTAATGCGGGGTGTTACCGAATTGTTGAACAAGAGCAGATTGAACGCGCGCAGGGGAGGGGGAGAGGAGGAGGGGTGCGGTCCGCCCTCACTCTCGCCATTCTGCACGCCGTTATACTGCAGTCGCGTAACGGTCTGTTGATGCATTATTCAAGCGCAAACGCCGCCTCTGCCGCGCGCGTGTTGCCGCGCTGTTGTGCGTTAACTTGTCCTAAACTCCGGCAGCACAACGTTCGGGAGGAGAGATCACTCGACGATGCTCACCGGAGACGGGAGTCTTGAGGATAAACGCACGGGCAACCACCCTAGTATTTCGAACGTGCAACAAAAATATGCGTTACGTGTAACACGCATCTAAATATTCGCATATATTGACAATTCTAGACAGGACCCAAGTCGCGCGCCGCTTTTTGTCGAGTTGCCAATATCTCTTTCGGGGATCTCTCCAGAAAAATAGGAATGCCCCTTCTTTCGAAAAATAAGATGTTGATTTCGATTTTCAATTTTTAATAAGAACTGAATCTGTAATTGATGAAAACGCTACTATAATAATGTTATTCTGGTAAAATTGATAACAATAAAAATTTCTAATATAAAGAGAATCTCAGAATTGCAAAAAGGTTTCTTTCCGCGATGCAAGAAAACGTAATAAATTGAATAGATACGTTATAACAATAAATTGATAAAATGTGTTGTCATCCTATTGCTGTAAAATCCTTTTAAAATGTTTTGTTCCGGCGAGATATTGTGATTAACAACCAAAAGAGAAAGATATATACTGGGATGATTACTGAGGTTTATCGTAAATGAAGTCATTGTGAGCTGTAGATTGCTAATTATAGCATACCCTTAGGGAATCTAATGTCATGTTCATATCGTATCCTACAATATACATTATGATACGCCTCTTGACTGATGTAAGCGCATAGTTTATACGCTTCATAACTTCATTCATGGAGAATATAACGCAAGATTTAATTACAAGGTACATTTGCGATCAACAAATGTTCGTTTTTCTTATAAATAATTGTTCAACAAATATTATAATTATATATTTCAAGATATTCATCAAAAATATGCAAAATGAGAAAATATTTAAATATGAGAAAGTATTTAAAATAAAACTTATTTTCAAAGAGAAATATTTAAGAAATAGGAAAAAATTACGTTATTTGTTTAAAAAAGTAAATAAGTTGTGTTTTATTTGTCTTATAAAGTAATATTAAAATACTAAGAAAGATTTTTCTTGCTATCTGTAGCTTCTGAGAAAATAGTTCGTATTAATATTACGTGTGTCATAAATATAACATAAAGAATTAAGAAATTGTTAGCAACTGTCAAAGACAGAGTGACACAGTGAGTGTTTGCTTTCCAATTCTATCGCGGCTTCTTTACTGGTTAAGTAGACCAACTTGCTTCTAAATCAAATAAAAGTAGTCTAAGCTTCTGATTTATTTAGATGGTGGACAACCGCGCGCAAGTGACAGATTGAAAAATCGAGAAAGAGGTCCAATAACTAAATAGGGAGAAACAAGAAACGTATAATATCTGATGTATGTTCACCTGGTCAGGAAGTTAGCAAATACTCGCTATGACGAGAAATATGGATATTTGAACAGTACGATGTTCTTGTAACATTTTAGTGACGCAAACCGTCTTTTTTCAATTCTTTTAATTTTTCTCAATTCATAAGATTTATACATGTGCATTAAAATGTGACACGATTGGAAAGTTTATTTGCAAAGAATGTTTCAAGTTTATTTTTTGTTATGAATAAAACATAGGACAAGTAAAAGAAATATTGTCAGTAAAAGTAAAAAATAGAAAGAATAAAAAAAGAATAGAAAGCTACATTTTAAATCATACAAACGTAGACCTATTGTAGATCGTCGTGCTACAATTAACCTTTGTCCTCGATAAATCCCAATAAATCCTATTTTTTTCCGAAAAAATATCGTTTATCGGCCGGCCATTTTGCAAAATAAATCGGACGATTATCTCGCGCGACAAATGTGAGAACAGATAATACTTAAATACATTGGCGGAAGCTTGTTACACGCGATGTAGTCATGGCAGATCGTCGTTGTGTCGGCTTCATCGGGATTATCACGAAGTGTCGAGAGTCGAGAGAGTACCGCGAGGAGATCTTGCGTGTGTTTGTGCGACGGAGAGCAAGAGTCCCGTGGAAACAATTAATCTAGCCCTCTGATTACTCCACACCGACGCATCCGTCCCCTCAACCCCGGTATCGTTGCTCTCGCTTCAACAGTGGCTGCAGCCCAAACGTCAAAACTCGAGATATTAATATGTTCTCTCAGCTGGCAGAGAGATGGCGACCGTCTCGAGATCTTATTGATATTCCCTCTTCTGATTAAATTATTATAGTTCTGTTCTGCTTTTCCATGCAGAATTAGCAGAAACGGGGATACTTTCGCTCTCTAAGCATAAATCTGTTTAGATGGTTGCGATAAAATGCTTATGTTCCGTTACAAACTTCGTGACTTCGGTAAACTGACTCCATTACGCGAAATGAGATTTATTCGAAGTATCTAATGGATTCACAGTACGATACGATAAGGTCGTAAATAACAATAGACCATGGCATGTTTTCTGCTAATGGCGCCGCAGAATTAACGTAAAGCGTATGAGAATAGTTCTTTTCTCCAAAATAATAAAATATAGTAAAGTAAGGTGTATTAGCGGAAAAACGAAATTCGTGGGTTTATTCGCTTACAGAAATAATTAATTCTCATAAAATATTAATAATATATATACATGAAAATATGTATTTTTAAATAAAACATGGTTTTAATCCCAAAAAGGAATCAATTTTCCGATAATAAATAGGGTTAGAATTTGTTCTTAGTTAAAAATTTAAAAGAATAGGTAATTATATCTAACATTACGTGTTCTACGTGTACACTAATATATTCTGTTTTTAGAAAATTACCCTTAACAGATATATTGCCATAATTTTGACATCGCAAGAAATATAGAAATGTATAGTTCAATCACGATGCAAAAATAAATATTCTTCCCTAATCAAATTATCATTTTAATTTTATAAATCCGAAACAAAAGAGATCTTTCGATATCACTATTAATCCGCGAAACATATTTCTAATCTTTTATATATAAATTAGTAATTTTGTGAGAATAATATAAAAGTATTTTGTTCTCTAGAATTAAAGTGACCAACATGTTTAACGTCTACTTTGTATTAATAAGCAACATCAGAATATAACTGTTTTAAAAAAATAATAATGCGAAATAATAATAATAATGAAAATGCTAAATACTATAACGTTAAGCGATTTTAACATTATAAAACTGATATATCGCATAAGCAGAGCCCCTTACCTACGACGTGTAGATAGCCATATTGCGTTTTGGCGGCGGCAGTGTTAATCTGGCACATGTACTTTCCCTTGTCCTCCTCGTGCACGTCGTTGATATGTAGGAACCAGGTCCTGTGCTTATCGTGCGACACGGATATTCTGGGGTTCCTGGTAATAACGTGATTCTGTACCGTCAGGATAGCGCTCTTGTCGAAAAGCATCCAGGCCACCTGAAACGAGATGGATATCACATTATACATCGTAAACGCAGTTCGTATATCGATTATTACGAAGTTGCTGTCCGTTCTTATAACGATATTCCGCAATATCATTCCCATTAAAAGTTACGCGTTATAGTATTTATAAAACGTCATTTTCTGCCTTACTTTCTCATTAACGTTTAGATCTCGAATAAAGATCGCAGAAATGGTAGATCGTAAGGATAGATACATATTATATATCCTTTTCAGTTTTTAGTTGCGCAAAAATTCAAGGCGGGTATGGCGAATAAAAATGTACAGTAACGATATAAAGGAAGGAAAAGAACAAGGAAATATAGGAATGAGATTCGCGAACGAGACGGATGATCAATGATGCTTTCAAGCATGGAGTGATCTACAAACCTACTATGGTTATATAGATATTCGCCAGTGGGATAAATCGCTCCGGGACTTCGAGGGCATATGTACTAACGTGCAATGTAATATGTATATAGCGCGTTGTGTGATATGCGCTTTATGTTTTATACGAGCAAAGTTTTCCGAGAGCGCACGATGACGCTGTGCAGATGAGTAAAAACTGGTCCCCATAGAGAGAGGCCAACCCGGCCATTTCTCTCGTTAAATGACCGCTTATTGAGAATCCGGATGGTTGCATTCTGCATAGCGTCGTTGAATAGCGTCGATTGTTATTGTCGGTCGAAATATGTAAGTTTTCCAGCCTCTCCGAGATGGGGGAAATGGAATAAGAAACCGGAGGCGGAGATAAGTAGAAAGTATCGCGACAACACGGGATACGGAAGTGCTCTGAGATATTTAGCCGATTTTTCCATTCACGTCGAAGAAAGTGAAGACCAAAGAAAGGTAACAAAGGGAAACGGGGAGGGGAGGAGGGTAGAGAATAAAGAGAATTCTGATCTCTCATTCGCTCGCTGCGAAAAGTCCCTGGAGAAATAAGAAGGGCAGCCAGTTCTTTCGCCCCAACACGAGGAATGTTGCACTTCAACATAGCCGCTCCCTTTCACAATGTGCAAATGTGCTGTTGTACAGACAGGCTATATCGCGAGATCGTGATAACTCTCGGCGCGAGCGCGGCGTCGCGACGCTAATCCCTGATGTTCGCGAGAGCCTTGCCAGAGGTACGCGCGACGAAAGTAAAAGAGAACGGCTCGCAAAAATTTTATAAATTGTCGCATGATTTATAAAAATCACAATTAGTATTATACTGTAATTAATAACGTACCTACAACTATAAATATTGTAATTATATTATTTACGGAAAGAATAAACAACACACAGGACAGATTTTCGAAACGCAATAATATTCCTTAAGAAACGTGAGAGAACTCGAAGTCTACACGGCAAAGCCACATATACTTAAGTGGATTTACCTTTTACAATCGATTAACGCAATAGGGGAACAAAGTTCTTCTACGGCCGTAAATCTCGAGGAGCATAACTATTCGCTTCTGACTCGGAACCAAGATCGTTTCGCAGTCGTTTCTCGCGTCTTCCGACCGTAACCGAATTTTCGTCCACCATTTATCCAGTCGCTCTTGCACCGGCGGCTGTCGGCGGTTATCTTCGCAGAGATATACGAATCTCGGCGGGGATTCCCGGCGTCGCGTCGGTGGGATTGCATGGATACCGAAAAACGCAGTTGACACTTTCATCATTTGCCTTTTCGCGGCAACGTATCAATTGTTCGAATTTCACGGTGACAACCTCGCGTTGCGATTTATGTATAAATTCTTTTTTTTTTCTAATACAATTTAATCTTTTTATGTATTAAAATATAATTCCTACAGGCGTATTTTTTTCCATTATAATGAGATAAAAATGTGCAGTTAAATTTATTTTATAACCATTAAAAAAATAAAATAAAGTTTACTTTGTACATAAACTATGGGCTGTACTAAGATAATTATTGTAATCATAAATTTTTTTTTACGAAATTTTGCTTTAAGTTAACATATTCACTTGGGAAAATTTATTGAAAATGAAGCAAAATTGTTAAATGATGCAATACTTATCGTACATTTAAGAGTTTTCTCAACTTTGCAGCAATAACGTTATTTCACAAATCCTTGGAAAAGATCCAAAGAAAATGAATTATATAAGGTTGGGCACCTATGCTCTTTACAGAACAATAAGAGCCCTTAGCTCGATTCGTTTGATCCTTCTCATTGGCATACGGATAATCGAAGGAAATACTATTATTATATTCTTTATTTCCTTTGATTGTCATTTCTAATAGCAATTGCATTGAACCTGCTTTTTCTCGAGATTCTTATTGCATTCAATAAACACAGAAAAGAAAGAACAAGAAAAATATTACAGTAATCAGTCATGAGACAGAGAACCCCATTATTAAAAGTATAATTCTCAACGGCACCGGCGCAATCTCCGAGCAATGAGAAGCCAATTTTTCTGCCTCTTATCGATTTCTGCTTCGTCACTTACGGTGACGATCCGACGATGTAAAATCGGTGTTCCGGTGTTAAGTTTAAGACGCGATACGCAGGTGACACGAAGAGCTATGAGAAAAGCAAGTTCGAGTGACCATCTTTCCGACTCGTAGCTCGCTTTCCGATGCATCAACATGCAAGCCACACCAAAACTAAGATGGATGCGCGGGCGCGCGAGAGGGGTTTGCTCTAGGAGTTTGTTCCCCCAAGAGCTGTGGCACGAAGCATTGATTCCTCAGCGTGAGAGGAGAGTTACAGCTTTGTTTACTACGAGGGCGACGAGCTCAGCGCCGTCCAGTCTGGCCTGGCGCTGGCTATGCTGTCGGTGTCTTCTTTTCTACCACGTTCTCCTTTCCTACTTCTCTCTCTTTCGACCGGTCCGTGACTCCCTTCCCCTTCCCCTTTTCCACCCAACGGAACGTCTGGACCGGGAGACCTATAGTTAACGTCAAGATCAACTCTCCTCGTCCTTTCCAACGTTCTTCTTTTACGCGAGTACTCCATGGTCCCCGCGTACGCAAACACATTCACCAGGCTAGGCGGTTTATACAGAACTGTGGAAAGCGAAAGAGCGGCGTGGCTGAGCCAACCATCTCGCGCACTCCCTCCCGTCATCTCTCATCCCCTTAGCCATTGTGTATGTGGAAAGTTGGACCACATTCCGGTTGAATGTATTACAACCACTTAACCCGCAAGCTGTCGAGACCTTCAGACCGGAGAATCCATGCGGCGTATGAACCTCTACTGAGGCTGATAGTTCGCTTAATAGGCACATTAAGCCCACTGATGGTTAAGCTCCGGTGAAGAGCGATTACATAAGTGATACTTTTTACATATAGAAATATCAGATTGATGCAAAAGATTTTTTGTCAAATCTGCCAAATAAAGTTCAAAGCAAAAGCAATAAAATCAAATTGAAATTGTTGCCACTGACTTCAATAAATTCTTTTTTATTTGAAAAGATTATTTTTTTTAATTTTCTTTTTAAAAGAGCTCTCTGAAATTCTAACTTCATTCAATACAAAACTTGACAGAAAAACAAAGAATCTTTCGTCACAACTTTTATTATTTATAGTAATTTAAGTTTATTTATAAACTTACACAAAATTAACTGAGAAGGATCAACTTTCTCGAGACTTTATTTTTCATTATTCCCTTTTGTTTATTTTACTGGACCAGGGGAATGCGTTAACGTTTTGAATACTCACGTCGCATTACAGACAGTTTATTACTCTCGCGTACTCCGCGAGAATAATAAACGCGTACAAATACACTTGTCCAGACATTGGAAACTATTCGAATAGAAATTTACAACGTGTAAAACAACGCGAAAAGTCAGTTTAGTCAGTTAAGTTCGTCGAACTTTCGCTGTACTTCTCTGTATAAAATTGGATCAGGTTAGCACTCAAACTGTCGAAAATTCGGACCATTCGATCGTGTCTTTCCCCCTACAGCTTGATTCAACAAATTGACCACAATAAATTGTCTCCTGACACACAATCGTTTTGTGTCGGAATTAGATTTTCTTACAGTTTCGTTTATATACGATAACAATGTGCTACGTATCTTATTTACGTAAAATCTGAATTTCTTGATCCTTTAAATTAATAAACAGAAAGGTAATAGTGAGGTATGCCGACTTGCGAAGCTTCTTCATTAGTAGACCCTTCTTACCTCACGCTTATACCACACCATGCAAGAACTTAGGACACCTTATAGATAAATGTATTAGGACCACTTATCCCACAAGCTGTCGGGTGCTTCGAGCTTGTAGACAACCTCTTAATTATCATAGAGCGTTAAGCCATTGCGCAGGCCGGAAGTACGACAGTACTGCCATGAGTGCTAAAAGCACCTAGAAACTTCGTGTCAAATACTGTAAATAGGCGAGAGTATCCCGCACGGCACGCAATCCATGTGACACGAAGTTTCTCACGGAAAAAAGAAATATCTATATTACGTTAAATAATAAATGAACAATTAGCAATTTCTATAGACGATTGTTTGCAGAAAATTGAAACATCGTTTATACATAGTGAACAGTAAATATAAGAATAAGAAAGAAAAATAAAGAGAGAATAATGAAAAATATAATATCGATATTAGTTTTGTATACATATATAATAAGTCACTTTGTTTAAACAACATTTTCTGTATTTAAAATAAGAAAGTTATGTATATGTTCAAGGTTGAGAAAGATAAAATGGATAAAATGCAGAAAATTAAATTAAAATAAGCTTAATATTTTGTAAGTTTTGTATGAAATTTTGACTTAGATAAAAACATTAAATATTATACATATACGTATCAAAATTATATTTTTCAATTTTAATCTGTCCATAATTCCATTATGCCTTCGTTTATGTAAAGTGTTGATGTATTCGTAGATACATACAATATACATACTTGTTTTAAAGCGTATATGCGACAGATATAATATTTCAACACGTAGCGCCTCGCATTTTCAATCAAACAACCGAGTGCCATAGCTGGATCATAACGACAGAGAACCGGATGCTGCTTCTTGTCAGCCAGGAAGACATC